CATACAAGAAAATTAAGTTCACATGTCTGCCATCCAATAAAAATGACCATGCAAGTATTCTGCCATTGAAGTGTGAAAGAAATCATAGACAACACTTAAACAAATGGGTATGGCTGTGTTCCAATAAACCAGTTTCAAAGACAAGAAACTAGCCAAACTGAGGTAGAGACCATAGCTTCGTGACCCCTGAGTTAAAGATTTTTACTAAAAACCCTAAAGCAACTACAAAAATAACACAACAAAGTGTTATAGATCATACTGACAAACTAACAGCAGAGATAAAAATGAAATTGTAAAAAAAAAATTAATTAACAAGGCAGAAAAAGAGAGAAAAAAGAACACAGAACAGATGGGACAAAAAAAAATAGCAACATGGCTGATTTAAATACAAGCATATCAATAATCATATTAAATATAACAAGTCTAACATCCCAATTAAAAGACATAAACTTCCAGATTGGATATAAAGCAAGGAGACCATATGCTTCTTTAAGTACCACACATTAAATATAAAGACACACAGGTTAAAGTTAAAATATGAAAAAAGTTATACCAAGCTAACACAAATTTATAAAAAAAAAACAGCCGGAGTGACTATATTAATATCAAAGTGGATTTCAAAGCAAATAACATTATGAGGGGTAAAGTAAGTCATCTCATCGTGACAAATGGGCCAATACATCAAGAGGGAATAATAATTCTAAAGGTTTATATACCTAATAACAGAACTTTGAAATACATGAAGCAAAAATTAACAGAAATTCAAGAAGAAATATACAAATTCATAATTATATTCAAAGGTTTAAATCTGTCTTAAAAATTTATAGAGCAAGTAGGCAGAAAATTAGGAAGAATATAATAGACTTAATAGCACTATCAACCAACTTGAGCTAATTGACCTTTATAGACACTTCCACCAGCCAACAACTGCAGAATACACATTCTTCTCAAGTACACATGGGACATTTACCAAAATATATCATATTCTGAAGCATAAAGCAAGTGTAAATAAATGTAAGAGAATTCAATTCATATAAAGTATGCTTTATGACCATAATGGCATTAAATTAGAAGTTAATAATACGAAGATATCTGGAAAATATCAAATATTCATAAATTAAATAATATACTTCTAAATATCAAATGAATCAATGAAATAAAAAAGGAAATTAGAAAGTATGTTAAACTGAGAGAAAATAAAAATACCACATATCAAAATTTGTGGGACGGCACTAAAGCAATATTTAGAGGGAAATTTATAACACTAAATACCTACATTAGAAAAGAAAGGCCTCAAATCAATAACTTTAGCTTCCATCTTAAACAACATAAAAAGAAAAGCCAGTGAATCACAAAGCAAGCAGTAATAAAGATTAAAGCAGAAAACAATTTAATAGAATACAGAAACAGAATAAAGAAAAATCAATGAAACCAAAGCTGGTTTCTAAGAAGAACAATAAAATTGATAAACCTCTAGTGAGGCTAAGCAGGACAAAAAGAGAGAAGACATAGATTACCAACATCAGGAATGAGAGCAGTGACATCACTAACAATTCCACAGCTGTAAAAAAGACAATAAGTGAATGTGATACACAACTTTATGCTAATGAATTTGATAACTTTGATGAAATGGACAAATTCTTTAAAAGACAGAAGCTGGCAAAGCTCACTCAAAAAGAAAAATAACCTGAATAGCCCTAAGCATACTGTATAAATTGAATTTGTAGTTAAACACTTTATTGTAAAGAAAACTTCAGGCTTAGATAGCTTTACTGGTGAATTCTATCAATCCTTTAAGAGCAACTTAACATTGAAACTACATAAACATTTCTAGAAAGTTGAAAAGGAAAATACTCTGCTCAACATATTCTATGAATCCAGAATTACTCTGATAGGAAAAACAGAGAAAACGATAAAAGAAAACTACAGTCAAATATCCCTCATGAAAGAGATGGAAAAATTCTTAACAAACTTTTAGTAAATATTATCCAACAATATACAAAAAGAATAATAAATCCATATTAAGTAGGGTTCATCCACAAACACAAGGTTGGTTCAAATTTGATAATCAAACAATGCAACTCACCATATTGAAAGACTAAAGAAGAAAAAAAAAA